AGGTATCGGGGGGCTCGAGGAGTTCGTCTTGAAGTCGGCCACGCTGTCAACCGCACCCGCCTGTCCACCCTTTACCCCGCTCAACTTTGAGGCCACGCCCATTGTCCGGGTTGCCATAGAGCCCAAACATCCAAGTAGGTCTTCGAAGGCGCTCTCACATGTAGTTTGTGAATTTTAAACTAATCTGCTGCTTTGTTAAATTCAGTGAAACCGGAACGTTTACACTGTCTCCTTTCATTTAGTTGGACACGTGTGTGAGTCTGTGTGTGTGTGTTTGTGTGTGAGACTCCCACGCACTGAATTTTCGTATCGGCCAAAAACTCAGCACAGTTGAAGTCAGTCCAGCTGTGCTGATGTATTCAGACCACATCAGTTTCACATCATGTTAATGACTCAAATACAGTCGACGGCGTGTTTTACAAACCAGAAATATATAATTCCCCAACAGCCAATGGGAGAGCAATTCCTTCCAAAGCTGGAGTTCAGTAACACTAACTGGTCCTCTCCTTATTTGTTCTCTGTATGGAGTCAAAGCGCCCGGCTCTGCGCCTCCGTCTGCCCTCAAATGGTGATGATGAGCTTCTGCTGATCGTGGCGTCAGACAGAAACCGCCGTGTGAGAGGAACCGAGTCAATCGGCTGAAACATTTCAAACTCCTACATTTGCCCCAGTTCACATTTCTGAGCCCAAATCTGCACCTATTTGTGTGTTTGTGTCAACTGTAAACGTAATCGCACCAAACTGAACAAATCTTTATTGTGAGGCTCCACACTGCTCCAAGTCACAGCAGGCACAGCTTCCTAATGTCAGCTGACATCGATGGTGATGAATGAGAGTCACATGACTTGGACTGGAATCAGATTTAACATGAAAGTTTTACGGCTTTGAATTTAACTTTAATACGGACGACTCGAGATGTCACTTGTACTTTAGTTTCTTGACCAGAGACTGGGAATCAATGGACTGTTCAAGCTGACAGCAGCCAATCACGCCGCACAGGCTCAGGAAGTAAAAAGATTCATAC